TGATTGTTCACGTGGTCAGTGCTACCGAAGTTGTGCGGCGGAAGGGTAGTTTGTTGGCTCCTGCAGGGCCGATGCCTCTGCGACTCTCTGCACCCTGTCCCTGTGGGCTGCGACCATGAGCGCTCCGAGGGCCGAGGGGCCGGGAAGATGCCAGCGGCGCTGCTGCGGCGTGGGCGTGGTCCGGCGCGGCGGCCCGCGGCCCTGAACCAGCCTCGACGGCGCCGGCCGGCCGGCCGGAGGGGGAGGGTGAGGCCATGGTGAGGCTGTGGCTAGCGGAGGGTTCCCCGAGCAGCTCGTATCGACCTGCGGAAGTCGTGACGTCCGCGGACATGATTTTTCTACCCCATATTCAATATTGTAAAGGTGAAATATACGGGCATCTCTTAATGAAATAACAAAATATTTTCCCACAGGGCGAAGAAATACACAGGCCCCTCGATCAAGCCACAAAACTCCCCACTCAGTTTTTTGAACAGCTCACGTAGGTGCGACAGTCAAAGCCGATCCGCCCGCCGTCTTGAGCGCAGCGGTGGCGTGGCGCGGCGGTACTGCGAGTGCGAGGTCTGCGGCCTGGTTGCCCAAACACGCCAGCCATATCCACCCACCCACTCCACGGACCGCTCTGTGCTGTACATGGTGGTCCACAGACCCCTTCCTTTATTTTGCTGGTACTGTAACGCAACGGATGCAGGCGTGCGGCCGGGTATCATACTCGCACGGGTCCATAAGGCGCCGCTCGGGCGCCGCGGTCAGCGACGGTAGGCAAGCCTGCTCGCACGCCTGCATGTGGTGTTTAAATACAGGTGAATATCACATTGGCAGCTGCCGTAAGTTCTCAGTTTATCTCAGACGCGTCAGACGCACTCACCCTGTTCGTTGAGCGGCTTCGCGGTGACGCGCAGTAGCAGGAGAACCCTGATCATGGACAGCCCCCTGGCTACGGACTGCCAGGAAGACAAGGGCCTCGTCCTTGAAGCGAGGCGAAGCGACAGCAGCCATTGAACAGCCACCACCAGGAGCAGTACACTGTTAAAACCGAGGTAGAGGTAAAACAAGTGTTTAATTTTGCACGTCAACTGACGTTTAAGTTCAAGTGTGCATTTTATAGGCACTTTGTGGTGTTTAACTATGTTAAACGTCAATTGGTGTTTAAACTTTCGGCACTTCCGAAACGTATAGCAGCTGCACACCGTATGGTTCCCTATTGACAGCATAGAACTGTGTGTGTCCATGTGTGCAGAATTTAAACGTTTCCAAACGTCTAAAATTTGCACACCACGCAAGTGTGCAACTTGAGATAAACACCATGTAATGTGCAAAATCACAACTTGCACACGATGGTGTGCAAATATTGCAGACTTGTTTTACCAGTGTAGTGTAGTGTAGCCCCACGTCGCGGTACACGAGCACTGCGTCAGGAGGACGGCGATCAGCGCGAGGACCGCGCCAACAACAGCAGCGGACACCACAAGGGCTATCACGGAGCAGGTCGCTTCTGCTCGGTTCTGCTCCCTCCAGGTGTCGCAGTGGAATAGTACCCCGTACCCCCCCGGTACAAATCACCTAAGGTATTAGTACCCCCCAGTATAAACCCCCTAGGACATTTATACCCCCCCACAAGACCCCTAGGGTACAAATGCCCCAGGGGATTTATACCGGGGGGTCTAAATCAGTCAGTGATTTTATACCCCCTATACCAGGAGGGGGGTATAAATCCGTCAGGTGTTTTAAACCCCCCTATGCCGGAGGGGGGTATAATATTGACGGGTCAGGGGATTTATACCGGGGGTATAAATCAGTCAGTGGTTTTATACCCCCCTATACCAAGGAGGGGGTATAAATCCGTTAGGTGTTTTATACCCCCCTGTGATGGTGATGGGGGGTATAAAATTGTCAGGTCAGGGGATTTATACCGGGGGGTATAAATCAGTCAGTGGTTTTATACCCCCCAATGCCGGTGATAGGGGGTATAA